TTTGCTTGATAAATCTTTTCTAACAACTCTTCCAATTCGTCACCTTAAAAACGGTATTGGGGAGATTTTAAAACTTGCCGTTATTAAAGATATTGATCTGTTTCATATGCTTGAAATGCATGGTGCAGGGTGTATTGAAAATAATTTTCAAGAACAAGCCTCTCAATCAATCCTTAAACGCTCTATTCAAAGCTTATTAGAAGAGCTTCAACCCAATCTTTTTGAACACAATTTAAGCCGTTCCCCAGATTTTGGACATACATTTAGTGTCCTTTTAGAAATGGTGCCTGAGTTAGATATCCTCCACGGAGAGGCCGTTACAACGGATATCGTTTATTCTTGCGTTGTCGCTTTTCATAGGAACCTGCTCTCTTTAAAGGAGCTGAATCGTATTTTAGATTTAGTAGAAAAGTTGGATCTTTGTGTTTTTTATCATGCAATGACGCCAGAGTTAATGTGGCACTCTCTTCAAGAACGAACAAGCCATCGAAATGCTCAACAGCGTCTCCCATTGCCTCATGGCATTGGAGGGCATGTTTTTGTAAACAATGTCACGTATGAAGAGTTAGACCGTGTCTGCAAATTTTTTTCTAACGTGGAAGGAGCAAGATATGTCACACAAAAATGTTGATATTCGTGAAATAGAAAAATTTTCAGCTCTTGCTAAGCAATGGTGGGATCCCCATGGCAAGATGGGAATGCTCCATACCATTAATCCCTTGCGCTTAAAAGTTATTGAAGATGCGGTTCCTCTAAAAGGGAAAAAGGCTTTGGATGTTGGATGCGGTGGAGGAATTTTAACCGAAGAGATGGCTCGTTCTGGCGCGGTTGCATTGGGGATAGACCTGGCGGAAAAACCTCTTGAAGTTGCAAAGTTGCATGCAAAGGAACAAAGCGTAAAGGTTGATTATCGTCTCACTAATATTGAAGCAATGTTGGAAGCTTCTGAGGGAAAAATAGAGAAATTTGATGTTGTGGTATGCATGGAAATGTTAGAGCATGTCCCCCATCCTGACCAGGTTATCAATGCTTGTGCCCAATTATTAAAACCGGGAGGACATGTTTTTTTCTCCACCATTAACCGTACAATAAAAGCTTTTATCTGCGCAATTTTGGGGGCTGAATATATTTTGAGGATTATGCCAAAAAGGACACATAAGTATAGCATGTTGCTTCGGCCCGAAGAAATTGAAAAATGGGCGATGGACAGTGGACTCTCTTTGGAAAAAACATCGAGCTTTATTTACAACCCTTTCACGAAAACATTTAAATTAAGAGAAGGTGCAGATATAAATTATGTTATGCACTTTACAAAGAAGTAGAAAAGTTTATGAGCGTCCAAGCCTTTGATAGGTCTATTAATTACCTAAAGCCCTTTTTTTCTTTGTCTAGAACGCCCCACGGTATTCTAGATGTTTCAATTACAGGTCTTAGCGCATTACTGTGGCTAGGTTATTTTCCTTCTATCGGTTTTATTTGTTTGGGCCTTTTAACCGCTTTTGCAGGATATACAGCAATCTATGCGTTGAATGATCTTATCTCTTACAAAGAAGATAGAGAGAAAATGGATGGTCAAGACGATTACCAAGGATATTCCGTAGAAGCAACGGCTATGCGACACCCTGTGGCGCAAAACTTTCTCAGCATGCAGGCTGGCGTGACATGGTTTTTGATGTGGTCCTGTGTCGCAGTGATTGGGGCATATTTATTAAATCCTGTTATCTTAGCCATTTTTTTAGTAGGGGGGGTGTTGGAAGCAATCTACTGTCTACTATTAAAGCGCACATGTTTGCGTGTGTTGATTAGCGGCGTTGTCAAAACATGTGGCCCTATTGCAGCTGTATTTGCAGCAACTCCAGAACCTTCTATAACCTTTTTATCAATCTTATTCTTCTGGGTATTTTTTTGGGAAATTGGAGGACAAAATATTCCTGCAGACTGGAATGATGTTTCAGAAGACCTTCGTGTGAATGCAAAAACAATTCCTGCACAGTTTGGTCCTAAACGTTCAAGTCTTATTATTCTCTCTGTTCTTGGCTTGTCTGTTCTTTTTAGTTTAAAATTACTAGATATTTCTCCAATCAATTTTGGCTTGGTTGAGTTCACAGTGTGCTTTGCAATAGGTTGTTTCCTTTTGCTTGTGCCCGCCTATCGCCTGTACCGCTCTCAGGGGGATTATGCACCAGCCGTTCTATTTGACCGGGCCAGCTATTACCCACTCGCGATACTCGCATTAACAGGCTTTAAGCTTCTTTTAGAGTATTTATAAGAAAACATCCCTTCGTCACCCCATATCTACAAATTTTTTTCAACGGCAACAACACAAAAAACACCCTATCTTTATTCTTAAATTTTAAGTAGACTTACAAAGAATATATACTTATTATTTATTTTATCTATACTCATCAAAAAACTTTTTTGATTATAATTTTAATTAATATCTGATATTTGCTTCGGTTATTTGTATATTCCCTTATAGTCATCATATAAAAATTATTAATTGTCCTTGATCTGGAATAATTATGATGAAAAAATTTAACAAATCACTTGTTCGTCTTTCTTTTCTAGTTAGCGCTTCTGCAATAACAATTAACACATGCGCTTTCGGCAGTTTTGAAGATCTCGAAAGAAATGCTTTACGTAACCCCTATAGTGCCAATATTTCATCAAGAATGTTTGGAGAAAATTTTACTGAACTCTGGTTAGCACAAGAAGGAAAACGCTTCTCTAGAGAAGACCCATACTTATTTTATGGACAAAATCATGAAGGATCTCCAGGTACTTTTGATGAAAGACGTGGTATTGTTTATCCCATTTTATCAAAAGATCTTAAAAACTCATCTTGCTTCCTGCCCAAAGGGTATGAGATAGGCAACTACCCGAAAGAAGACGTTGCACTGGGAAGGTGAATTTTAGCTCAGTACGGCGATCAAGAAACATTGCTTGATGTTTTACTAGGTTGCAAAGTGACTTCTATTCACCGTGTCTTAGGAGCAGGGAAAAAGTACAAGAATATTCTTGCTACCCTCGGCCTCATTGGAAAAACGATCGGAACGTTCGTATCAGGTGAAGAGGTTGTATGTTGCCCCCCGAAAAGTGGACAGTTGAATAAGCTCAAAATAAAGTTCTTTTTCGCATTTTAAGAAGGCAAAAGAAAAATGAGTAAAAT